ATGATGACCTTGGTCCAGCCAGGGCGGACGAAAGGAAGCCCCAGGGACAATCCCAGACAGCCAGGCCCAGGGGACCGTATTGCCTGGTCCTGCCTTGGCGCCGGAGGGTGGATATTTGCTGGTTTGGGCTGCCCAGAATCCATTCTCCCTCCTTTTAGGGACAGCCCCATGATTTTCTTTTTGGGAACCACCCCTTCCTCAGTGTTCAATATTAGAGGGAATCTAATTGAGCCTCTCTGCCCTCTGCCAGCCAAGAGGAGGACACGGGACTCAAGCCACACCAGCTGGTGTCCCTCCTGGGGCTGTGAATCACGAGCAGAGTGAGGGAAAAGCAGTTGTGGCCGATGCATCTCAGGGGAACCTCGAGAAACCGCCTCCGTTCCTGCCCCCAGAGCCCTGGTCGGCTCTGGTTCCACCAATGGTTGGTGCCCATCTGGGAAAATGCTGCCTCAGCAGCCTCTGTCTGCTCCAAGATCCTGTGGCCAGCTGCCCACCCGGACTTGACCACAGCTGTTATCTTGGACTTGACCCGTGCTGCCCACCCAGAATTGACCACTGCTGCCTGCCTAAACTTGACCACTGCTGCCCATGTCATACCCACCACAGTGTTCCAGACAGACCAGGCCTGGGCAGCTACTTTGTCCCAGTGGATGAGCTTGGTTCTAGGTCCAGCCATCTCAAGTTAAAATGCAGAGAAGTTTACAAGAACAAACCTATTTGAGCCCTCCCTACCTGGCAGACCCTGTGATAGGTGTTTCACATAGATCGTCTCGTTTCTTTCCCCCACATTTCAGTCACTCACGCAGCACCTTCATGATTTCTGCCATATCAGTATTATTCATTTACTGAGTATTTTCCTTTAAATTGATTTGCCATTTAAAAAACACATGATTTTATTTTAAAAGTAAATGCTATATTATTTCCATAAATCACAGAGTTTGGTATGTTGCTTATATTTTTCTAATATGCACCAATTGTGAGCTAGTAAAATAATAACTGTTCATCCACATCCTACCTGAAATCATTGTGCACACCATCAATCACACGCGTGCCAGCCCCGGGGGAATGCTGTGGCGTCTGAGTTAGTGCACACACATCCCTGGAAAGATGGTGTATAGATAAGAACATGGGGGCGCATAGAGCTCCTGCCAGAAATCCCACAAGTAGAAAGGCTTGGGGCTGAGATTTGAATCCAGACAGTCCTAATAAATGCCTAGGCTCTTTCTAATGCATTAAAAAAAATGTAAAGAATCCTTTAAAAATGAAAATGTGTGTGGAAATCCAATATATAAAACGGATCAAATTAGAGCATTTTAAATTTAAACAGTGTTGTTGGGTCCAGAGCTTCTTTTTTGGGAATTCCCCTTGCAAAAACCCATCCTATAATGGCCCTTGAGAGCCTGTCTCAGAAGCCTGGGACTCTGAAGCATGTCATTTTAAACCCACAGGGCACCCCTGCCCTGCCCCCACCCCCCTATCTCTTAACTCTATTTAGTCTGACTTTCCCTGTGAGCCAGACTCCTTCCAGCAACTTCTGGGCCTGTGTTATCTTCTCTGGCTGCACATATCAACCTTGGATCTTTGCCATGTTGACATCTCAGAATTGACCATCTTGAAATCTTCCACTGGTGTTAGAAGCCTTACTCTGACCTAATTAATTATTCACTCATCACCCACTGATGTCTAACCTGTACCCAGATTTTCAGAGGACACAAGAGGAATAGATGCAGCGACTGTGATGGGTTCCGAATGCAGCGTGGGAGACGCACACAGCCAGATGCAATAAGGGTTTGAAGAGCCCCCGCTCGTGGAATTGCATCGTATCCGCAGTTCCTGCCTCTCCTGGGTGCCTGGCGGCATCCTGTGCTTGGCAGTGCCTGAGATGGGGCAGCCAAGGGGCCCAGGTGGTGCTGGCTGCCCTCCAGATTGACATGCCAGAGGTTTTGTCTGATTCCCCACCCCGGCTCCTGGGTCACAGTTCCTTTCAGCAGCTTATGCCTGATGTAAGTCTGGAGTTAGAATCATACCTCACGCAGACCCCCAAACCCTCACTCCAGCAGGAGGACCTATGTGCAGCTGTGCCAGCATCTGCAGTATGAATCTCTGCCCGGCTCCTGCCATCAGTCTGCCTTCTGTCCTCATGATGGAGTCCATGACCCTCCCCCCAAACCTGGAGACCACCTCCCATTGAAGCGGGCACTCCCAAGTTGCCCTCCTCTGCCAGGAAGAGAAGAATCTGTCACTCTAAAAATATGCAAAGATCCTGGCCAAGTTCCAGTAAGTTTTAAAGATTCCTAAATGGCGTTCAGCCTTGTGGTGCGTCCTGACGAAGCCAAGATGGCTATGCTTTCCCCTCAGTCCTGGTGGTACCCCTGATCCTCTCCGAGACGCTTCTTTCTTTGGAAGGCCCCAGTTGTCCCCAGAACATGAGCCTCTGGGTCTCCCCTGTGCTGTGGGACCAGGTCTGAACTAAGCTGGAGTCCCACCCAGGTACCTTCTTCTTGGTAGGCCCTCGAGTGGGGTCCATCAGCAAACTCAAAACAACTCAAGTCAATTCAAGCCAAGTCAACTCAAGCCAAGTCAGCTCAACTCAGCACGTCACACTGCACATCTCGTGCCCTGCGCCGGACTATCCTAAGCTAGGCGCTAGTTTCGGAAACGGTAGAAGCCAACAGATAACAAAACACAAGCTTTACTTGTGAGGAGTTTTCTGTTTTGCGCCTAGATTTCAGATCCAAATGTTTCCTTGAGCTGAGGAGCCCCTTGCACAAGGGGCTGGAGACGGAGCTTCCTTTCCTGACGTGGAAAGGGCCCAACCAACAGCCTAATTCCTGGGGTCCACCCCCCAAGACTTCTCAAACTACCCACCTGGGGGGTGTCTGACTTCAAGGCTTGAGGCTGCAGAGTCAGTTTGTCCCTCACCCTTCAGGATCTGGTTCATATGGTTTCTGAGTCATTCATTCATTCATTCATTCATTTGTTCGTTCACAAACCAGCGCTGAGTACTTACTGTGTGCCAGACACCTTACAGACGTTTTCTCGTTTAATTCCCACAGCAACCGTGTGTACAGCTAGAATGTAACCCAGCCATAATTCCAAAGCCTGTGCTCTTCCCATGTCATCCCACTGCCCCTTAGGACAAGTCAATAGAATCCATAATAAAGGGTGGATATCACCACATGCTTAAACAAACACATTCTATATGGAGGGAAAGAGGGGACTATTGAATATTTTGCGTGAGGTGAAATCCCACCTGCCCATTTTACTAGAATTCTTTGAGAAGTGAACTATACGGGGAGATAAAAGGTGACTTTCGCAAAAAGCCTCCGTGAAGCTTCTATCCCAAAGCCTATTAATACAATTGATTCATTATAGAATTGGGCAGAGGTGGGTGGTAAGTGGGAGGGAGTCTATTTTTGCACGGAGAGAGAACTGGCTTAGAGACAAGGACGAGCGGGTGGAGATAAATGGGTGTTCTTTCCACTGGAGAACAGGGTTCCCTAGGAATCGGTGCTGAGTCTGGTCTTATATAACACCCAGTGCGCATGCATTGAGCACCCACTGTGTGCAGGTCCTGCTTTCAGCATGGGAGATACCCAAACAAGCCAGACTCAGCCCCCTTCTTGCAGGAGCCCAAGGAAGGGAGTGCTCAGTGACATCTTCAAGTTTTCAGAGGACAGAAAGCTCCTTGGTGGTCTGAAAAGGTGGGGCATTGGAGATAAAACAAGAGGGGCCTGGGGACAGGAAGGAGCCCCAGGCAGCAATCAGGAGATTTGCGCTCCAGGACCAGCAGGCCACTGGCTTGCTGTGTGACACTGGGCGGGTTCTTTCCCTCTCTGGGTCCCGGTTTTCTCTCCTATGCACTGAACGGATTTGCCTAGATGGCCTGTAAGGATGTGGTGCTCTGGAGGGAGAACAATGACTTAGAATAAGACCTGGTTATGAGAAAGTCTCCATTTCCTGCGGCCAAAATGTCCCCTTCTGTCCATGCACTGTGATGGGGGACCCCTCTCTCCCTGATGTGTGAACACTGAGGATGAGGCACAGAGCCATGAGGTCTGTGGGGCTCGGAGCCCAGCCTGGAATCCCTCCGTGGCATTCACTACGGGTGACTCAGCGTCATAAATAGCTCCCATCTGGGTGAGCAACGATATCTGTAGCCATCGAGCGATCTCTATATCCACACACACCCTCTCTGTGCAAATATGTGGCTCACTGTATGCTAAATACGGGGTGGCCTGGAGACGTTCCTCCACTTAAAAGACTATTTGGTACGAAACTCAAGACTGTTTATTTAAAGAAACAAATTTACAACTCTGCCTGTTGGATTGCTGGTGGTGGGTGGTGGGGACGAGGCGATGTGGCTGGATGAAGGGACGCTGGGTGTGATCTGAGCTTGGGGGCCGCTTGAAAGAGGGGCTGAGGCGCCTGCCTCACCTTCGCCTCCTGTCTGCGGCAGGAGGGGTGGTGGCCGCACACACAGGAAGCTTGAGGTCCTGGAGTAGGGGTGTGGTGGGGGGAGTGTTGAGCCCCAGTTCAGCAGAGTGACAGGAGAGCCAGGTTCCAGCCCTGCTCTGGCCTGCCACTGACCTTGGGTAGTTCATTAATTCACTCATTCATTCATCAAACATGCACCAAGCCCCTACGAGTTGCATAGGCCACTTGGGGTTCCAGACAAGAAAACGCAGGTCTGACTTCAGGCTCAGCCACCCACCAGCCATATGTCTTTGGGTGATCCTTTCCCTTCTCTGAGCTTCAGTTTCCTCATCTGTGAACTGGGGATAATAACACCCACTTAAGCGTTTTTGGGGGCGAGTGTCACCGAATAAAATAACGCACAACGAGGTGTTCTCTGTTGTAAACAGCACTAAAAATGCACAGGAACACCATTCCACCTCATTGTCTGTTTGATCCATCCCATTCCCACTTAGGGGTGCTCTTGGCGATTGTGGGGAGCACTCTGCACACCACCCATGGGGTGACGCTGGGAGTTCCCTTACCTTTGCTTCTTAGCAGAGCTGGGGTGCAGGGGTCTTCAGTCAATGCGCAGAGCAGGTAGCATACCAGAGACGCACAGCTTCCTGGAGGAGGAGAGAGGGTGTTGGGGGTCCGGGGAGACGGCTTCCAGGGAAGCTCGCCTCCCAATTGGGCACCAAACCCCAGCCCCCATCTAGGGCGTGCCCTTGCCTCTCCTGAGGCCACCACTGATGCCGTAGGTTTCAGCAAGGGGGTGGGAAGGATGGGGACCTGCTGGGCATCAGACCCAATCCCTGGCCCCTCCACACCTGCTCTCCTGACAGCAGTTGCCCTTCTTGGTCACTGGTTTGGCCGACACTTGTATTGTACCACAGACCACGCGGTTTTCTGGATTAAATGTGATTTCTGACTGGTGACAATGGGTGGGATTTACTGTTAGTCGATCTGGGTTTGAGTTCCGGCTTGGGGGAAATCCATGACATCTCTCTGAGCCTCAGGTTCTTTACGTGTAAAATGGGGCTGCTGATAGCCCCAACCTCATACATGGGTGCCGTTAAGCGCTTGTCGTTGGTGGTGGTAAATAAGATAACGTCTGTGAAAATATCTACTACGTCGTAGCCCCTCAAATTTTAGTTACCTTCCTCTGCTTGCTTCTAGGAGGTACCCAGAATTCCTGCAAAGGCAGGGAGTGGGTCTCACATGACTGTTTCCACAGCCTTGCCCAGGTGGGCACCCTGTACTGTTTGCTGACGGAGCAGTGCCTGACGAGTGTGTTAGATTTGCTTTCACACTGTCACTAGGATTAGGGAGGCCAGGTCTCCACTGTACAGATGAGAACACAGGTGTGGAGAGGGGCCCTGAGCTGCCCAGTTTCCCATGGGCTGAGCGGGGGGCCGGATCAGAACCCACAGCCCCCACGCTTGCCACCCGCTGCAGTCAGAGGCTCAGCTGGATGCCAAGGCCTTGGCCTTGCAGGGGTCTGAGAGGTGTGCTTGGGCCCGAGGACAGCCTGTCACCTCGTCCTCCTTCCATGCTCTAGTCCCGCTCACCGTGACTCAGAGTAGTGGAGATTCTTGTCTTGGGGACTGAGGATTTGGTCCAGGTCACAGAGATGGTGGGGGAAGCGGATTCCAAGAGATCAGCGGACTCCCGGTCCTTTCCTGGACCACCCTGGGTGACCCAGCATCTAAGCTCTGGGTCTCTTCTGCTCCATCCATGCACCATCACTGCCTAAGGCAGCCTCCTCCACCCCCAGCCCACTGCTATGAATAGAATAGGAGCCCCTGCGGCAGGGCCCTGGCACTTTGCAGGGCTTGATAAGTATCTGTTGAGTGAGTGAATGAATGAATGAGTAAATGAGGGCCAGGCCGTGTTCTAACCGCAGTGAAAAGGGCGGGCCTGCTCCCTGTTCTCAAGGAGTGACAGCATTTGAATTTGTCACCAACCGGATTGGAAAGAGGGCAGATGTTACTGCTTTCTGACTGGCTAGGTGGGGCAGCGGGGAGGGAGTTGACATGGGCAGAGCCTGCTGACTGCCCAGGGAGCGTGCATCTTGGAGCAAATGGCCACCTCCCTGGGCTCAGGTAGGGTCATCTCTGAGCTGCTAGTGAGGCTGACCTTTAAGAAGGCAGGGAAAGAAAGGGGGGTGGGGCCATTAAGTGTTCAATGGCTACCTCCTGTTGAGTCCCAGGCAGCTAGCACAGTGCCTGGCACATAGTAGATACCGAAGACATTTTGTTCAGTGAATGAAGGGTGGGCAGAGAGCATGTTGGGATGACTCAGGCCTAGAGGCTTGTGGGGATCAGAATTATTACCCTTGAATGGGGCTTTACTGTTTGCAGAGCCCTTTCACACAACAGCTACTATTCTCACAGGTGAGGAGTACAGTCTGAACACATTTATTACTGAGCACTCTGCTGGGTGCTAGTGGTGCCCATAAACCACAGGGCACCGGCAGCCCTCGGCATGTATTCACGGCGTGCCAAGCCCTTTACGTCCAGTAGCTGGCAAAGGCCAAGGTCATAATCCCCATCTTGCAGAGGCAGCATGGAGGCCCAGAGCAGTCTGGATTGTGCACAGTGGGAACCGGGTCTTAGTCTGGGAATGAGAGGTAGAACATCAACAGGCAAGTGGATAGTTGAAATACGGTGTGGCATCACATGAATGCAGGCTTGTTAGAGGCGCCGCACGGCCAGGAGGCAGGGGGGAGGGCTTTCCTGGGAAGGGGAGCCTCGAGTTGAAGCTTAGACGGCAATGGAACAGGAAGAGCTTTCCAGGCGGAAGGAACAGGGTCTGCAGAGGCGTGGAGGAAACCTGGTCCGCTCAGGTGCTTGGAGGAATTTGGTGTGGCCAGAGCCTTGGGCAGAAGGCCAGTGATGAGGGGCTTTCACTGGGCGTGAGCTTGTAACAGGGCTTTGTGGTCTAGAGAGTTCCTTCTAGGGGCAGGGGTGGGGGCATGGGAGGAGCTGGTAGCTGGAAGGTGTTTGCTGAACTGTGGTGTAGAGGGAGACGCAGGCTCTGCCCCCTGGCTTGGAGGGTGTATGAGCGTGGCTATGCGAGGTTCTGAGCCTTAACACTCCCCTTGGCTGGCCCACCCTGCAGAGTTGGAGGTCCTCCCCCGGCCCCCAAGAAGGCCACAGTGGCAAGTCCTGGCCTCTGCCCTAGCCCCAGCTCTAGCCAAGACCTCCTCTGCCACCTGACTGTTCCCAAACTGTGTCCTAGCAACCTCGCAGCCCTCACCTTGGCAACGCCAGCTTCTGCACTCTCTCTCTCTCTGATTGGGCTGCAGGGAGGGTGGATCTCGGCCACCTTCTGTCCACTAGACCTGCCCAGGGAACCACTCCCCTCAGGCTGCCCACATCCTGGGCCCCTGGGCCCCTCAGGTGGAGGCTGGCCAGGCAGATGGCGGAGGCGGGTGTGGACACTGGACTGAGAGACTTGGGATCTGGATTCTGGCCCCAGGGCTGACCCTCTGTCTGAGTGACCTTGGACGAGCCTTTTCCCCACCCCGAGCCTCAGTTTCCCCTTCTGTAAAATAAGGAGGCTGGACAACGCCATCTCCAGAGTCTAATATTGTCTTATTCCATTTCTGATCTTTTCATGGCTATTGGTTGGATGCTCTGTTGCTGGCACGGGATTTAGTGTCAGACTCCAGGAACTTAAATTCTGGTTTACTTGGACAAGTCACTTCACCTCTCTGAGCCTAGATTTTTTTTCCTCTGTAAAATGAATATATCTCATGCTCCTCTTACCCAAAGAGTTATGAGAATCAGGTGAAATGGTATAAGCAAAAGTGCTTAATAAATGGTGAAGGGCTATACCGATGTTACCTATTTTTTCACATGGGCTGTGCTCAGTAATGATTTATTGAACCCCCTCCCCAATCACCCCACTGACAGCAACTGCAAGCATTTATTAAACACTTCCTATGTGCCAAGCATTGTGCTGAGGGTTTTACTCACATCGTCTCATTTTATCTTCACAACAACATGTAAGGTACTTGCTGTTATTGTTTCTATTTTCCAGAGGAACAAATCGAGGGCCTATGTATGTGGTTATGTATAGAAGGAGCTCATCTGGGCTCCTTGGCTTCAACACTTGACCATTTAAAATGTACCGTGGTGCCCGTTTCAGGATCTTTGTGCCCATCTTGAGTTTCTCCTCTTGCCTGAAGTCAGGATCTAACTCAGGGTTAGGAGGGCAGAGGGAAGCACTGTCCTCTATTGAGCATCCTCGATGTGCCAAGAATCGACCAGCCTCTCAGGTCTTTATGTGCATGCTAATCCTGGGGAGTCTTGTTAAAGGGCAGATTCTGATTCAGGGGGTCTGGGTTGCAGCCGAGATGCTGCATTTCTAATAAGCTCCCAGGAGATGCTGGCGTTGCTGGTCTATGGACCACACAGTGAGCAGCTAGGTGCTAGAGGACTTCAAATACCATCTTAGTAAATCCTGGAGACTTGGTCTTATTTGCTCCGGGGTCACCGATGGGGAAACAGGCTGGAGAGGCAATTCCCCTTACACAGGGTCCCACAACATACAAGGGGTGGATTTGAAGCCAGAGCCGCTTGGCATTAGCCATGCCCCGGGCTGCAGGCCCAGCATCACCTTGTGGCGGTGGGGCCCCTTCTGTGTCCACAGCTGAGGGGGTTTTGGTCTCGGAGGCCCTCACTAGGAACTGCTCCTTCCTTTCCGTTCGTCCTGAGCAGACCAGCTCTGATGCTGGCTCGCACTGGGTCAGTACCCTGGCCCGGGAGATGTCGCTGCCGCTGAGTGAACATCTCAGGGTCAGGATTAGAGCCTATGCATGTGTGACTCACACCTTTTGCCTCACCCTCAACTTGCCTCTTGAAATCCTGTCTTTATTTGAAAATACTGATTGTTTTATTCATCATGGATTTTTTCCATTAATTTTGTTTTAATTGCACCAAATGTTTACCGTGATGACTGAGCTTTTAGCCCGCCCTCACATTTTGCACCCGAGGCAGGTGCCTCTCTCCCTTGCTTCATCCCAGCCACAGCCGGGCCTGTGTCTTCTCCTGTCCCCGTCGCCTCATGGCACCAGGATGCTGCCTGCACTGCTGCACTGCGGCGCCCACCCGGCAGCCAGCCAGCTGATGGATTTCCTTCCCGGCAGGGAACCCAGCACTGTGCTTGCCCTTTGGCTCACCTGCTCTAGAGATGGCAGCAGAGACTGTGGGCCCGAAGGAGGGTCCAGGGGATCGTTCTGACCAGTGGGGTGACCGAGGGAAGCGACTCCATGGCAATTTAGACTATGCCACACTCTGCTTTACCCGGTCTTCAAGGTCCTTCCTGCTTTGGCCCCTGTCAACCCTTTTGCCCTCACGTCTGCCACCTCTCCCTCACTCCATCTGTTTCTGTCCTGCGATCTTGTTAGGATTCTTCCTACCCCAGGCCCTTTGCACTTTCTGCCTAGACACTTGTCCCATGACCAGCTGCTGCTTCCGTTCCAGATGTTAACTTTAATGTCTGTTTCTTCAGGTCTCCCCTGCCTCTGCCTTGTGTGAGTAGCACTTATACAACTTGGGGAAATTGTTTACTTGGTGTTCTCTGTCTTCCCAGTAGAAGGTGAGAGCACAGCCCATGT